AAAAAAAAAAAAAGAATAAAATGTCACACCTGTTGTTTTTAACCATACTCATGACAATCACCTTCTCAACCATCAATGTGAGAATCGTGAAGTCGAGAGTTAGAGCCCAGACTGTTTTATCCTTCCTCAATGAAATAAAGTCAGATGTGTTTTTAATACAGGAATGTGGCCTGCCATTTTTAAATCACTACAGAGATTGGGAGAGGTTATGGCCACAAACATCTATATGGAGCGGATCAAACGAAAACAAAAACGACGGAGTGGCTATTCTAATCAAAAATCCTCTGGTCTTGGTGAAGGGCAGCACTGTGGTGAGAGATGGTCGGGCACTTTTAGCACACTTGACTTTTATGGGAAAAGATTTTAACGTCTTAAATATTTATGGCTTTAATGACAAAAATGACAGGTATGACCTTTTAGAAGACTTGCAGCCCCACATGCTAGGTAGGGCACCTTTAGTTGTAGGAGGGGATTTTAATTGTATTTTAAACAGAAATGATAGGAAAAGAACAGGGGAAGATTTTAAATTAGACAAAACATCGGTTTTATTTCAAGGAATATGTAGGGATTTTAAACTTCTTGACTGTTTTAAAACCATGCATCCCAGAGAGGAAGGCTTCACCTGGTTCAGTGGTGACGGCACTAGAGCCTCTCGTATAGACTATATATTATCACGGGATTGCCCGCCGACCGATGCTAGATTAACCCCCGTTTTCTTTTCCGATCACGCAATGCTCTCCTGCACCCTTTCACTCCCGACTGGTGTGACATCAGGAAGTGGTCTGTGGAAATTAAACTGCTCCCTCTTAGAAGATAGGGAGTTAGTTAGCCAGTATAGGGAGCAGTACCAAGAGTGGCAGACCCTTCAAGACCTCTACGATACACGTGTGCACTGGTGGGAAATGGTGAAGGGAAGGACCCAGACTTTCTTTAGGCAGGCAGGTAAGAGAAAAAAGGATAGAGACAACAGACGCATGTTGGGGCTGCAAAAACGACTCCAGCGATATTTTAAACTAAACCAACAAGGGATGGATTTTAACGAAGAAATGGCTCAAGTAAAAACACAGATGTCTGTTTTAGCAGAAATGAAAAGCAAAGGTGTCATTTTAAGAAGCAAGGAAAAAGAAATAGAGGAAGGGGAGAAGTGTACGAGATACTTTTTTAAGAAAATAATAAATAAAGGAGGAGCCATTTTAAAATTAAAAACAGAAAGTGGGCGCACAGCTGAGACAACGGAGGAAATAAAAGAAATAATTGAAAGCTTCTATAAAGAACTTTATAGAGAGAAAGTGGTCAAACAAGATACCATAACAGAAACGTTAAAATATATAGAGCAAGTAATAGATGACAGTACGCTTCTAACCCAAGATTTTACAATGTTCGAATTAAATAAAAGTATTAAAAGTTTTAAGACGAGGAAGTCCCCAGGACAAGATGGGCTTCCTGTGGAATTTTATTTGACATTCTGGAACATTTTAGCACCTGACCTACTTGCTGTTTTTATGGATTTTGAACAACTTGACCGGCTTCCCGACAGTTTTAGAGTAGGGATAGTAAATCTCCTTTATAAAGACAAAGACAAGACTGACCTGAAAAACTGGAGACCTATCACACTTTTAAACTTTGACTGTAAACTTTTTAGCAAACTTTTAGCAGCACGAATGTCGTCTGTTTTAGAAAAACTGATTCACCCGGATCAAGCCTGTGCTGTCCCGGGGAGGAAGATCACCGACAGCCTCGTACTGATCCGAGACACCATCTGTTACGCGAGAGACAGAAACTTCCGGCTCGTAGTCCTTAGTTTAGACTTTGAAAAAGCCTTTGATCGAGTCTCGCACCAGTACCTGTTCCAGGTACTGCAAAAAATGGGGTTCCCAAGAAGGTTTATAGCCTGGGTGGGATTGCTGTACCGGGGCATTAGCAGCAAATTCATGGTTAACGGGCATTTGACAAAAGCAGTCAACATAAACTGCGGGGTCCGTCAGGGTTGTCCGTTATCTGCCCTCCTCTACGTTACCTGTATAGAACCACTGGCACAGATCTTGAGAAGGGACAAACGAATCAACGGGATAGGAGTCCCAGGGAGCGGGGGACTCGCGACAAAATGCATTTTATATATGGACGACATTAACATTTTATGTTCGGACCTTTTATCTGTCAACAGGACGCTGGACTTGACTGACTGGTTCGGACTGGCCTCTGGGTCAAAGTTGAACAGAAGCAAGACCCAAGCCCACTTTTATGGACCGTGGACGGCGACGGAGACGACAGGACTACCCCTGACAGTGACCCAGACGGACCAAAAGATACTTGGGATTAAGTTTGACAGTCAAGGGGGGGGGGGGACAAATTGGACAGACATGGTAGGGAAAGTCAGACAGAGACTAGGCTACTGGGGACTTAGAGGACTGACTATGGAAGGAAAGGTTTTAATCATCAAAGCAGTGATTTTACCTTTGCTTTTACTAATCAGCTCTGTTTTTATCCCACCCAGGAAAGTGCTTTTAGACCTAGAACGGGCCATCTTTTATTTCCTGTGGGGCTCCAAGTGGGAACGGCTGAAAAGAAACATAATGAAGAGACCAAAAGAGAAAGGAGGGAAAGGAGTGCCCGATTTGCTTTTGTTTTTAGGAAGCAGATACACCGCACTACATATCACAAATGCAACAGCCCCATCCAAAAACCCCAAGACCGCAGCCATGACACAGTTCTGGATGGGGTCCTACCTCAGAAAACTAAAGATTGTACCAACTGATCACCGATTTCCTGTGTCATTTAGCCTACCACCAGCCTATACTTTTATCCAGATGTTTTTAAAACATTTTAACCTGGAAAAAGAGGAGGTCCAAGTTTTAACTAAACACCGTTTTCTGATCTCTGTTGTGCAGGAGCGTGAACCAGTGAGCCCAGTGCGTGGTCTCGCATTTGGGGAACCCTCGACAGTTTGGCGCAATGTGAACCACTCCGCTCTTCCAAACAGACTCCGGGACCTGTCATGGATGGTGGCTCACGAGATCCTCCCAGTCAGGTCCGTAATGCACTCCCGGGGCATGTCGGCGCAGCAAACTTGCCCCCGACCAGGTTGTGGCGCGCCGGAATCGGTGAGACACCTGTTCTGGGAGTGCAGCGCTGCTGTCGAACAGTGGGCAACGGCCGGCTCCTTAAAATTCCCGTACTTGCCAGCAAGGGAGGTCCTAACAGCACAGTTGGTGCTATATGGGGTGAGCCAAAGAAACAATACACCAGCAGATGATCTGGCTAAACAACGGCTCACCCTAGCCGCCATCAAGGAAGCCATCTGGACCTCCAGAAACTTGCTGGTAAGAAAGCACAAGCAGATCCCCCCCGTGGCTGTGATCCGAATGGCCGCAGCAACAGTCCAAATGACCGTTGCTGCAGGCGGCGGGCCTAGGACACAGCCACAAAGAAGAATCGCCTCTGGGCCCATTCGGACGAAGGAGCCGGTGTCACACGGTCAAAGTTCAAAGCAGCAGCGGCCTGACTCTCCGGGTGAGGCAGGTGGGAAGGAGCAACAGGGCGAGGATCTCCACTAAGCATCACGACAGGATCCCGAGAGATCTAATCTGCTTTGGAGGAGTGGATAGAGGTGGCTTTGAAAAGGACTCACCACGCTCCTGCACAAAAATGAACTGTGAAAATAACCTTTTGAACCTTTTTAACCAATGCATTGCCCCTTTTCAAAAAAAGAAAGAAAAGATGTTTTTTTAACATAGTCACTCAACACACTTTTAATGTATGCCTTTAACCACCTTTCAACTATTAACTGCAAAACTTTAAACAATTGCGTTTAACATTTAAATGTGATTTTACAGTATGTGTTTGTTTTGGTTTATATCCTTTTAAAAAGAAATTTGTATGGTTTTAAAAGTGTGAAAATCTTATGAAACATGATAGAAATGAGTGTCAATAAATTTTTTCTCAAAAGAAAAAAAAATCTGTTCTTATCAGTTTAATATCTGATATGTCCTCTATACGGGGACAACATATTAAACGGATTTTTAGCACCGGGAGCTGAAAAAGGGGCTTGCTCCGTTCACTCCACGCATCGACCCGGTACTGCAGTGCCGCCGGGAACGGTGCACCCTCCTCCTGCCTTGTGGAAAAACAAACGCCCAATTGCGATGCGAGAAGCTCGTCTCCCCAAGCGACGCTGGACCCACGGACGAGGGTCGAGGTGGGTGGCAGTCTTTTGGTCCCGCAGTGGTGGGAGAACACTCTGTGGGCTCACTGGTGTCCCTTGCGGCAACTCAGTGGGCTCCCAGTCTAAAACCACTGTATGTCGGCCATTGCAGCTGGTGGCAATCAACAGTAATCCTTAAAGCGGCTGGAAAGGGGGTGTGGGCGGGACCAGGGGCATGGCCGTGGCCTGGGGTCTTGGTCGGCAACGAGCCAGAGGGGAGGCTAACCACGAGGGTGGTGGCTGGGACGACAGCAGACCTCGGGCAGCTCTTGAGCACATGGCCGTACTTTCTCGGGTTTCTCTTCATCACGCACAAGTCTTTCGCCTTTTACTAAAGACTTCCGTGGAGAGGAACACCAATGAGTTAAAGCTATTTTTGGCGGGCTTTGCAGTTTTTGCTGAGCCTTGTGCGTTTGTGAAAATGAAGAATTCGGTACCAAACGCGACCGTGAGGCTAAGGGGAACAAATCCTTTACTTATTTCCCCCTGCAGAGAAACTCATTATCTGGGCTTGACCTCCAACCCAAGTGTTAGAAGCAGTGAGCAGCTCCCGGGGGCCGGCTCCTGATCTGAGCCAGTGCCTCGGTCACGGGCCACTGACTGGAGACTCCAGCTAACGTACATGTTTTGACGGCGGGGGAAGCCGGCCTCCCCAGTGTGGTTATCCCTCGTTAAAAGGGAGGAGCCATGGGCGGAGTTGCAGAGCAGCTGCCTTTGTCATGCACAGGGAAAACCATCTCACCACGGCAAGGGACAGCTGTCCCAGGAGGTGGCCTCGGGCAGCATGGGCCCAGAGGTCATCGCTTCTCGGCCTTTTGGCTAAGATCAAGTGTAGTATCTGTTCTTATCAGTTTAATATCTGATATGTCCTCTATACGGGGACAACATATTAAACGGATTTTTAGCACCGGGAGCTGAAAAAGGGGCTT